TGTTAAATTAATTAGTTATGTCGAGAGAAAAATTAATTAATTATTGGAAATTAGTTTTTGCCTTGTCTATGAGGATATAAAATTAATTAAGCCAAACTTTTTTAGAACACATTAATGTTGCCTTGAGAGAGGATAAGTTAATGAAATATTTGTGACAGAAATATTATTATTCCAATTATTGATTAAATATGTGACAACAGTAGTTAACTCAGATGATGCCTTGACCCGAAGTCTAGTCCTATACCCGTACTATTTATTTTCTTTTTCTCAAAAGCATCCAGTAGTTTATTTTATTATTATTTTCAAATCAAATCGAGAAGACTTTCAGACCCGTCCTAACCTTCGTCTAGTTAGAAAAATTAGCTAATTCCCTTCGTCCACTCCTCGAGAGACACGACACTCGGAGAAAACTAACCCTTCATTGGGAAAGTTGACTTACCGAAAAACTCAATCATCATACATGGATTTTTCAAAGAGAAAAGGGGGCTTAGGCAAGGGGATCCTATATCCCCCTTGTTGTTTGTCCTTGTGATGGAATACTTAAGTCGTTTACTGCAGCAAATGACCAAGAAGAAGGAGTTCAAATTTCATCCAATGTGCAAACCCCTCAATATTACTAGTTTATGTTTTGCAGATGATCTCATAATAGTGTGTAAGGCTGAAGAAGGATCCCTTAACTGCATCATGGAGGTGTTGAACAGATTCCAAGAAACTACAGGTCTGAGTATCAATGCTGCCAAATCACAGATTGTATTTGGTCGAGTAAACAAGAAGACACAGGATAGTCTACTGCAGATTTCTAAATTACAACTGGGTACCTGCCTTTTAGGTATTTGGAAAGTTCCATAACTGCTGCCAGAATTAGTGGCAAAGATTGTGATAGACTAGTGCCCAATATAACTGACAAAATCACATCCTAGGCTTCTAAACATATGTCATATGCAGGCAGATGGTCATTGGTAGTGTGCTTTTTGGTATAATGACCTTCTAGTGCAAATTATTCATTATCCCAACAAAGCTTATGCGAAAGGTACGGAGTATTTGCAGGAATTTCCTATGGGGAGCTACTGCTAGTTTTGCAAAAAGACCTCTGGTCAACTGGGAGGAGGTTTGTATGCCTAAAGCTGTTGGAGGATTGGGCCTAAGAAATATGGTACATTGGAATAGGGCTTATGTATATAACTACTCGTGAAATATTTACAAAGACAAAAATAATAGCCTGTGGGTGAAATGGATACATGGAAGGTATATTAAAGGGGAGGTGAATAATTATGAGATTAGGGGGGATATCTGCTTTTATTGGAAGAAAATTATGAACAACAGAAAGTGGTTTAAATCCCTGGACACTGCAAATGGCTATACAACTGAGATGGGATATCAGTGGCTAATGGGGCTAAAGGATTCGTTTGGAATAAGTTAACAGTCCCTAAACATCAGTTCCTCCAATGGCTGATTAGCAAAGGAAGGGTCAGTACCAAGACTAGGCTAGCAAAGTTCATGGACATAAACAACATTTGTGAGCTATGTGGTGCAGCTGAAGAAGACCAGGATCATCTATTATGTAATTGTAGTTTCACTAAGGAACTGCTTGATAGAGTATCTTCTTGGTTAGATTGCAAAATAGAGGGAGGAAGGGTCCAAGCTCTAAGGCAGAATCTGATGCTGTTGCAGAGGATGAAGAGGAAGCAGGTAATAAGTGCTTACTCGGCGGCCTGTTACACCATTTGGAGAGCAAGAAACAAGAAGCTACATACTAAGGGCATGCCACAGCTGGAGGAGATGATGCAATGGTTACAAACTACCATTACTATATAATATTACTACATACTGGGAGAAAAAGAAGAGGAAAAAGATGAAAATGATAAGTAGATAGTTGGCCTAGAGTGTGATGTAATAGTGGTAATATTTGGTTTTGTAAACTTTGTTGGAGGTGGTTGAATGAAAATGTGCATTTGGTTCAAAAAAAATTAAGTTATGTGATAATATTTTATTATCTTTAAACATAGCTCACAAAACATGATATTATTTAATTTTCTGTTATCTAAACATATATATATATATATATTGATATTTTATACCAAGTCATGGGTTGTTGACTGGATGATTGACCCGAGTCAAACCGGTTCACTCGGTTGACTCTTGACCTAAGGCTAATCCAGTTTAATGTCCCATCCAATTTTCAAAATATTGCGTACGTGATGTGGCTTCACTAGTTTTTTGAAAATAATAAAACGTACAAGTCATAGCTAGCAATTATCAGTTGAGTACTAAATAATACGTACGAAGTCATAACAATTTACAGAACATCATCTTGGGATAAACCTAATATTACCTACCCTACAATAGAACTTGGATAGATGCTAGAGTCACGAACAAAAAATTACAAAATTCACTAACTTGTTATTTATAAGCCCTGCTAAAAGAACAAAATAGTCTCAAATAATTTTTAAAAATTTAAAATTTAAATTCAATAAACAAGTTGGTGAATTTTGTTATTTTTTGTGTGACTCCAGCATTTCAATAGGACTTGGATTAGAGCAATGCTAGGTTCACAAACAGAATTTTCACAAACTTCACAAACTTACTATCTATGGTTTAAATTCTCATTTTAAAATTATTTTAGACTATTTAATTTTTTTTTGTTGAAATTCACAAATAGCAAGTTTTTGAATTTTGTGATCATTGTGTTTGTGAACTAAGCATTTCCCCTTGGATTATACGAGTTAAAATGAAGTCTACTAAGCATCAAGTGGTTCCGCAACTGCAACCACCTCGGCCTTCGGCACTTTCCCATTAAGCATCTCAATGACTCCTTGGAGGGCAATGTCGGCATTTTCACTCCGCATTAGCTCTTCTGCAACTTCTGCTGGCGTCGCATTCACCATCTTCAATAGCCTCTCTATCTCGGGGAACAGGGCGTGGTCATGTGAGATTTGGAGATAGTTATGGGCCAAAACCTTAAAACCGGGCATGGTAAGGTACGACATGTGAATGTGCAGAAGGAGAGTATGAGGGCAAAGGCTATGGATAGTTATGAAGGCGTGAAGAAAAAGAGAAGGAGAGTGGCTGAATATATAGAAGGGAAGAGGAGGAAAAGAAACTGTCCATATGCAGTTAAGGTAGGGAAAGGACTCCAAAAGGAATCTCTTCAGGAAATGTTTCAACTTTTAGGGAGATGGGCCTGGGACATTTAAGCGGACACGGGTTCCAAGCGGTCCACTTCCAATGTCTTTCCCCATGCTTGCGGTCCACTGCTGGCATCCCCTCCCCTGCTAACGGTCCCACCATTA